AGAAGGTTCTAGATGAGTAGAAACTTATTCTTGCATATTGTTGAGGATATGTAAAGAAAATATGCAATTTTTTTTAAACTTATGGTGATAAAAAGCAAAAACGTTTCACGTCAAAGCCTCTACAACTTATACTATGGTATTATTGAGCTATATGGAGATGAATTTTTACGTAAAACAACATCTAACGATATTCGATTTTTATATGTTACACACAAATCTAGACATGGAATCTAAGTATGATGGTAGCAAGCCAGTATCGTCGATGTTATCATAGAGCACCGTCGATGATACTTGAAGTTATAGCATCCCAAGATTTGTGTGTATGACATGCATATTTTGGTGTCGTTGGTGGCAACATTGATCTAAACTTCCTCTGCCAATTACCATTAATGACGAACTACTTGGAAAAACACCAAAATGTTCATTTGTTTTAAACGGAGAAGAATACAAGCATGAGTACTTTCTTATGGATGAGATATATCCAAGTTGGGCACAACAAGCAGCAAGAAAGGACGTTGAATGACATTTGGCGTACTAAAAAGTTGTCGGGCATAATAAGACTCATTATGCAGTCTACGGATGTTGTTATGTATAAAGATATAATGTATACTTGTCTTATATCATACAAAATGATACTAAAAGATGAAGATGTTGTATCTTTGAATACATGATACCGATCTCTCAACCGAAGTAGAAATAAATGGATATATGATTCTAGAATTGTATGAATCTAGAACTTACTACCAACTTCAATCGAATCTTCTATATTACATTGAGCATGCCTACATGTTTAGATAACTAGTTGATTTTAATTATCGTTTTAATAATGATTTCAATTTCCATGTTTATGTTTCTCGTTTGTAGTTGTTTGTTTTTTTTAATCAAATGATTTTATTAATTTTTTTTATGTATTATTTTTTAATTGTTTTTGAAAACAAAATTGAAAAGATTGGTAGGGTTCATAAAAATGAGTTTTTTATGTGGTGGGTTGAGAAAAATAAAATAGAATAATAAGAGAAAAAATTGTGGCAAAACTGTTGGAATGATTGAAATATGGCAAGTCTATTCGTATCTTTGTCTCAATTACTAGTTGTACTTTTCTCCATATATGAATGAATGAGTGTATGTGTTTGATTTTTATGTAAACAAGAGATAGAAAGCCACCTTTTTTTAATCCTTCACCCTTATAATCTTAACTATAATAAAAATTGGTTATAGGTAATAAACAACGAGTAAACCACAAAATGGTACTCTCATATGATATGTTTTTGGTTCCATAAAATACCCTTGAATTCATTTGTAGAATATAGTTGGCGCACTTGGGGCATGTTGACAGGTGTACTATTTAGATTTAGACTACGTGTCCCACTCGATGACGTGGAGAAAAATCAAACTTTACATACATTTTGTGGTGTAGCAAACCAAACTACCAATTAGATATGTTCACGTTTTGGGATGTGTGATCTTTAAAGATATAATTAGGTACAAACCCATGAAACAAGAAGATGATTTGTCCACTTGCGTGTTGTTTCATTACTATATGACCATTTGCTTTTCCATATGCAATATCACCCTATTTATATTATTTAGGCACAAATCAAAAGCAACAAAAATTATTAACAAATATGTTTAAAAATAAAAAGAAAAAAATTATTAATGAAATGATATTATTATTTTATCCTCCTACATTTGTTTTTATTCATCTTTTTACCAATTTAATCAAGATAAGTGTTAAAATTAAGAGATGTGATTAAGAGAGAAAATTAGTGGTATCAACATATCATTATTCTATATGAATAGAAATATAGATAAAAATAATATATAGAAGTATATTTAATTTTTCTTTAAAAAATAGCCTAATATGTTCAAAATGTAGTCCTTTGGATTAAATCAAGATTATTTTTGGACTACTTTTATATCACATCAAAAATATATTTTCCGCAAAAAATTACATTTTGGATTTCTATGCGCCGGAAAAAAACATATGAGGAAATATATAAGAATATGTCCGAAATCTAATGAACAAGTTCAGAATTCCAAAAAAATACTTTGTTTTTAATGAAATTTAGAAAATGACAGTGTTTCACCAAACTAATTGAAAGTTTGAAGTTAATAAGCTAACTGTTAGAAACTATAGTTTTTATTCGTATAGAGTGTTCAATAAAACTAATTGGAAGCTTTTAAAAATGTAAAATTACATAAAATTAAAAAGTTAAAAGCTGGGAAAAAACTATTTCAAATAGTTTTTGGATTAAATGTTTTTTGTTTAAAATGAAAGTTTTAAACTCGTATTTACGAACGAAACTTTTTTTTTTAATTCAAGTTTTTTCTTATAAGCTAAAAACTTTAAAAGGTAAAGAAAGGTAGTAAAATCTAAGCATATTCATATAAGGGTACAAAAAGTGTTATTTAAATGAAAAAACCCATAATATTAAATATTTTGGATAGACAAATGAAATAGCATCTTATATTTTATTCATGTTCATCTTGTTATTCATTCTAAATGTGATAAGTGTCGCATTTAAAAAATTAACAATATTTTAGAACACATATCACATTTAATATTGGTAGGACTTAATATTGATACGATGATGAATAAGAAGAAAAATTAGAAGGATGTTTAATTTTTCTTTCAGATCTAAATGGGTAGAAAGATTTTTGTAAAAGTGTTTTGTGAAAATATAAAAAATAAAAAATACATATTTTATATTATTAATATCTTAAATGCCCTATTTCGCAAATGCCTCATTCCAATAAACTTACAAGTACATCTCTATAGGGGTGAAATTGGTACGGTACCGGTCATTTTTTGCCTAAACCGTGTACCGTACCAATTGTAGTTGGTATAATTTTTTTGCTACCACTACCATACCGACTATAGTTGGTACTAACCTATCTGGTTACCAATAAGTTCGGTTGATACAAATTGGTAATGATATATACAAAGATGTATGAGAAATTTGTAAATAACGATTTAAACGTTCTTGAACATTGTGAAATGTGAATGAGGTTTTGTGAATTGGAGTTTGGTAATGGTTGAGATTCAAAAATCGATCCAAAAAGATTTTATTAATGTCTACCATGAGTTTATAAATTTAAATAGTGGAGGAAAATTAGACACACTATCATTAGTTTAAAACTTTAAGCTTTACTAATACGTTGAATGCTAATATAATATTAAACACCGAACATACTAAAACTTTATATATATATATATATATATATATATATATATATATATATATATATATATATATATTGAATTGGTTGGTATTACCTTGGTATTGAAAATTTTGTATCACTACCATTCCATGATTCCTTAATTGGTATGGTACTACCAACCAAACATGTTGGCTACCAAACATATTGGTTACTAATACATTTTGTTTGGTTGATAACATGTTGATTAGTTTTCCGTTGTACATAGTTGTCAACCCTACATCTCTATAACTTTATGAATTGATGCATTTAGATAGGTAGATTTGCATATCTATATTCCTTGTATTGTAAAACATCGTTAACTAACTTTAAAAAAAATTATTACATTTGTCATATGTCCATCCATTAATTTTTATTTAATAAAAGTTTTTAGTAAAACATTCTACAATGGTTAATCTTTTTAAAAGTTTTTTTCCTCAATTTAACTAATTTATCAATTATCTATACTAATTTGTTTTATCAAGCCCTCATATAGTCATATAATTTATAATTTATCGTTGTTAGATTTTTTTTTTGTCAAAATTATAAAAGATTATAAGACTAAAAAAACAATAAATAATTATATAAATTGAATTTTTTATAATATTTGTTGTTTTTTAATTTTCACAACTACTTTTAAATTATATAAATTTACTATAAAGTATATTAATTAATTATTTTTCATTAAATCAATTGATTAACTAATAAAAAAATATAGTATTTAAATATTATTAGGATATAAAATATAATGTTAATTAATATAAGAATCATATGTGACAAACACATGAAAAAATTAAAAGGTTACGGGACAATAGGTGTTGTTTGTTTTTCTGCAGCAAAAATCCATAAAGTCTGCGGACCACCTCTGCAACCCTCTGCAGTAGAAGAGGTGGACCTAACGGCTGTAGACTAAGAAGCGTATTTGTTTTTTTAACATCTGCATGCTGCTGCAGATATTAAAAAATTAAAATAAACTGATTTTATAATTCGAAAATAGTTTTTTAGTATCGAAAATTTAATAATGTATGACATTTCGGCAATAATTTATGATATTTCAGCAAAAAATAATGATATTTTAACAAAAAAAATATAGATATTTTAGCATAAAATAATGATATTTCATCAACAAATTATTATTATTCAATATAAAAAAAAATTCAACAAGAATAAACAAAAAAAACGAAAAAAAAATGTAAATTAAGATTTCAGCAATATATAATCAATATTTTAGCAAAAAAAAAAGAAGAATAAGAGGTTGAAAGAGGTAGGAAGAGGCAAAACAAGTGTTGCGCCAAGAAGAATACGTGCAGAGGTTTTTTAATCCAAAGACTTCTGAAAAACAAACAACTGTGAGATAAAAAGTGTTGCGCTTATGCTGCACCGCACAGCAATAAAAGGTCTGAAAAGGTTTTTTCCAAAAAACAAACAACACCTATATATTTGAAGTAATATTTGAAGTGACTTTTACGAAAAATATTTCTTCTCTAATTGTAAAAAGTTCTATAAAAGCTTTTTTAAATAAGAAAAAACTACCATTAAAAATGTTATTCGACATGAAGATTATACTTTTTCAAAATTTGAATTTCAAATCTTGTATGAATTTGTAGTATAAATAATCTTTGATATAAATTACAACTCATACAAAAGAAGATAGTTCATTCTTGTAAATTCGCTCCGATATTATTATGATCTCGATCTTGTCAAGATTTCAATCTTGACAACGTTAAATGCAAATTTAACAATTATTTATTTATTTAGTATTAAATTACCATCACCAACCACACACGTAACTAATTATACTTCTTTTAGATCCCAATCTTTTATCAAATGTCATTTCTTACAAAAACAAATATTTGCAAGCCAAATAAAGGATTCCTGATTAGAGAAACTCAAACCTACATTCTGTCTGTCTTTAAAACAATTTGCTATCATAAGCAATTAAAATACAAAAAGAAATTTGGTTTCAACAAAATTACTTACCTACCCTTTGATGATTGGGTCGGTGTACCTTCTGAACCCATTCAGACCCATGAGTCAATTCCATTTTACAAACAAGTAAAAAATGACTGTCTTTTAAATCAAACCTTCACCTGCCACCAATAAAATATAAAATTCAAAATCACATATATCACAAGACACTAAAGTTGTGTTTAGCGTGCCACAACTAGCTTATTTTTCGAGCTTTTTTAAGTTGTCAGGTTTAGCAAATCAAAAAGTAAGCTGGCTTTTTTAAAAAGCTACTTAGACTAGTTTTTTATCAACTTTTTTTAAAATTTTCTAAGTATACATTCAATTAATTATAAAAAACATATTCTTTTAAATGTCTATTTATGTCATTTTGTATATTTTAGTTAGGGGCCGTTTGATAGCTGCTAACTGAGAAAGCGCTGATTGGAAAATGTTTGTCTGAGTAATAAATTCTGACTGAGTAAGAAATCATGATGTTTGATTGTACATCTGACTGATACAAAATGACCATTTTATCATCGTGCTCTTAATAATAATAATAATAATATTAATATTAATATTAATATTAATATTAACAATATTAATAATAATGTATACAAAACCTCCAGCAAAATAGACATTAAATATACTATTTTAGAGATTAAAACACAAAAAACCATCTAGCTTGGTGGTAAACACCATTGTTTGTATATGGGAGACCCGAGTTCAATTCCTGTAACCTCCCATTTCACTTGTTGAGCCTTGAATTTTTATCCAAGGGAAAGGGTATTATTGGAAAGCTTTGCTTTCTTTCTCAGTCAGCCTTCTCCCAACTCTTTTCTCCTTTCTCCTTTCTCGGTCAGATCAAAATTGGATTATCAAACAGATTTTGCTGCTGACCGAGTCAGCCAAAAACGTCTGACTTGACTCGGTCAGACGCGTATCAAACGAGGCCTTAGTTTTACCAAACGTTATTTTTTATCAGCTAGCTTTTCAACTACTAGTTGGGTTTTTATATAACAGCTAGCTTTTCAACTATCAACTATCAGCTATTACGTCAAACATAGCCTAACTCTGAAGCAAAACCATCTTCACCTCACTTGTTCATGTGACTTGAAAACTGGGCATCTGATCCACTTCTGTACGTGTTGGGATCAGATGTTTTGCTTCCTTTTATGAAGGATGTGGGGGGTTGTCACCTATCTAGCCAACGGTAAGCCATTTAACATGGTGTTTTAGAACATCCAATGCTGCCTCATGTGGAAAAGATTTTGCAAGTTGCGGTACTCACTATGTGTCGCCTTTAGCAAATCGGTGTCTAATCTCCTGCTTGCACGCATGTTGCATTTGTTGTTGTAGATGTTGGGGGTGAGCACGGATAGCGAGTACCCGTTTTTGGAACTGGAAATGCCTCAGAACTGTTGGTTCTAGAACTAAAACCGAGGTCACTGGTTCTGCTTCCGGTTCCAAAAAGTGGGAACCGCTAAAGACTGGTTCTGGTTCCAGTTTCATTTTTAGGAACCGTCACCCGTCAGGAGGAACCGGTGGAACCGGTTCCAAAATCTTAAAATTTAAAAATACTTAACACTTAAACGAATTGGCCGTAACAATGTTGATGATTAAGACATTTGTTGGGACTATCTAATTGGATCTTGGAAATAACATGCTAATAAGTCATATTTGAACGTATTTTTTCAAAACAAATGGTCTGATGTTGATGTTAATGTGAATGGCTGAATTTATGACTATAAAACAATTTGAACATATGTAATGGTATATCTTTTGAAAAGATCTGATGTTAAAAAATATTGACAGGTTGCAGTAAGAACATGAACTTTGGTTTATGACTTATATTTAGCAACTTGGACTGTCTTTTAAAACGATTATTTTTTTGTCGTTTGTAACTTGTATCGTAATGAACTATTTATAGTATTCACTTTTTGTTTCAATGCCTAAGAATTATTTTGTATTAACGAAACTAGAAAAATGACGTAACTGGGTTACTTGCTCAAGGAACCGGAATCGCCGGTTCCGGGACCGGTCCACAGGAACCGCCAGTTCCGGCGAAATGAGACGGATACCCGCCTACGCTCATCCCTAGTAGATGCAATTGAACTAGTTTACTTTTGTCTGCATATCCTTCCATTTGGAGTTTAGTTGGAGTCTATTATGATCGCTACCACGTATTCACAACTTTTATGTCCACCACCGAGTCCTAAAATGCATCAAATTGTTGATGATTGCCTTTTTTATAGTCCACCAAACTGATCCACAACTAACATTTCAACCATTGCATAAAATTTCTCGTCGGTTGAGCTCTTCATTGTGATGGGGCTTGGGTTTCGTCTAACTCATCATTTTGGTTTTCAGATGGGTGTTGGGTTTCGTTGCTAGATTCTTCGTTTACAGACTCACGAAATGCAAAGTGTCGAGAATATACACTTTCATTTGGTGATAAACTGAAACCTTGGTTGTAGTCTTGAAAACCTTAATATTGATTATAGGTTTGTTGGATTTGAAATTGTTGGGAAGGATATTGTTAGGGTTGATAGTGTTGGGATTGAAACTGATTTTGATAATTTCCCATTGGCATATGGCTTTCGGGAATTATATTTGGTATTGGCATTTGGGTATCAATTTCAAGCCGACAATTTCTTCTTGGAGTAGCACCGTTTTTTTTTTTTTGGATTTGCCACGACTCAAATCCATTGGAATTGATTTTGAAAGTATAGAATTAAAATGGAAAAGAGTAGAAAGGAAAGAAGAAAGGTGGTGTGAATTTTTGAGTTGTAGTGTGTTTATATAGGTGTAATTTATTATTATTATTATTAATTTTTTTTTTGAAATCTAGTCATTACCCAACGGTTTCAACAACTTGGTGAACCCGCCCAAGCCGACGTCGCCGAACCCACTGGAACAAGCAAACGCCGGTACCACAGCCTGCCGACGCGGGTGACAAAATCCGGCCAAAATCAAACGACTCCATGCACCCTAAATCTAATAATAATAAGTTTCTACTAAAAAGTTATTTTCCTAGCAGCAACCCCAGACCTAGCCCACACCCACATCATCCTGGCCCAAAAAGCATAATGTGATATGTAAATCAAGTACACAGTGGCTCCACCCCACTAGAAAGTTTTGATGCACTTTGGTATCAAGAATATCACGTAATCATGGATTATAGATTATAATGTAAATAATTGATGAGAAATGAGACTCACGTAGTTCATCAAAGGAAATACTGGTCATGCTTTCTCCTGATCTCACAAGACGAATCTTTCCTGCAAGATTATGCACCAATTTTACAATTTTAGACAATTAAGCAGACAATGTGAAATTTTGGATTCACTCCACATACAACATATATTGTTTAAACAAATTAGTTTTTTGCTATTCACTTGCTAGTTACTTATGGGTACTTTCGTGTCACTCTATTAATTATATCACATGTAATATGTTCGCCTTTTAAGTTGTTTATAAGTTGTATTTCAATAAAATGGCATACCTTCACACCAGACCTTACTTTTGGGTTACCTACTAGATCCTCATAAACTACATCTTTATGAAAATGGCAAAAAATAAAATTGGAAAAATATTGTTCATACTTTTCTTGGTGATTGCATTTGGTTAAGAGAAATTAAATATCCTCCTACTTTTATTCCTACCCATGTGAAATAATGACAAGTGTTTTAAAATGTTATTAATTTTATCAAAATGTGACACTTGTCACCATTTCACATGGGTAGGAGGATAAATAGGAAGAAAATATAGGAGGATATTTAATTTCTCTTTGGTTAAATAGACTACAGAGATAAATACACTAATTCAAGGAAACAAGCTCTTAATGACGTCGATATTGATTATAAATACAATAAATATTACATCGTTTAGAGTTTTTCAAAAAATGTTTTTTACCATCACGACGAATGCAGATCTCGGGTATATTTTTTACTTCACCATTAATACTGTCATTGTAAACTCTTGTTTCAATATCACCCTCTACATAAACTGAAGAGCTGCCAAAAAAAATGTTTCCACATCAGGAGAAAATAAAGATGTAAACACACATCAATCAAGAAAGTCTAGCTCACCAAATTTTGGTGAGAGGCTAAATGCAAGAAATAGAAAAAAAAAAAAGAAACTAGGATGCTATAATAAAGAAATGAATGAAAGTATGTTGCTATTTTTTGCATTTAATTCTTTTGGTAAATATATACACATACTTTTTGGCAAGTTTTTGAACTGCATAAGCACCAAGTGTGTCATTGTGTACAGCAATACGATGCCATTGAGCTGGTTTTGGCAAGTCTTTGGCTCCAATTGTTCTTTGATCAAACATGCCTCCAGTTCCAACAGTAAAAATGGTGACAGTTCTACCATTCCTCAAGATCTTTTGCAGAGGTGCTTGTCCAACTTTTCCACATAAAATCGCCTGTCAATTCACAAATTATAAAACTAATTAGGTTTCATATATGTTTATCTTCCATGACAAATTTATAAATAGTGAAGCAGTTTCATTTATTGCTTTGGTTCTAGACTTATATACACATATATAAACACAAACAAACATGTATACAGATCATAGATGTAGTCTCGTATATAAACAAAGGGATCAGATGTTAAAGCTGTATTATGCGTACCTTATGCACACCACGAAACCCCCAACCCTTTCTGGGATCAACCCCTTGCATTTGTAGCTCCGGCTTTTGGGGAAGGAAATCATCATCATCGATTGTATCAGCTGGATTACCATCTGCCTCGTCAGCACTGTCGAACGGAGCAGAAGATGAGTAAAACTTCTTCCAGATTCCTTGGGCGCCCACTGCTGCATAATCAATGCGTCGTTACGCATGTTCCAAAAAAACGACTCATTGATTCTAAATGATGATCTCACGTATTACTAGGGTTTTTGCACACCATTTGATAGTCAAAGAAAGGAAAACCCCAGGTTTAGCCTTATCATTTCCTTTAGGAAAATGAAAAACTGAAATAGAGAACATTCAATGAAAAAGATACCTAATGGACGGCTGGATTGGGAAGGGATAGAGACGCGTAACGATCTTGTGAGCTTCATAGCGAGTGAACTCATATTTTGCAGAACAGAGAAGTTGATTGAACTGAAGAGGGTTGAAGAAGGGTTTATGAATTCGTAGGGCGAGGGAAGGTCGGGAAACGGGTTCGGGTCGTTGCAACTAAAAAAAAATTATCGTTAACCAAATGGAAATTTGAGTTTGCAAAGAGGGCAGAAATGTACAGATTATCTTTTGTTTATTGGGATAAATGCAAAAAAACTCAACCAATTATATATGTATATGCAAAAAAATCTTATATTATTTTTATGTTAAAAAAAATATTATTATTTACGTTTCAAATAAAACCAAACCGTAAATTTTTAAAAGAAATGACCGGCTATAAATATGATATATGATATACATATCCCTTATATTTCTTCCATTGTATGCAAGAACATGTCAAAACAACGTATATTTTGATTACTTTAACTAGACTGTGTTATTTATATGATTGATTTTTCTCTTTTTAACTATTCGTTTTTATCCAAATTAAAATCAATGTCGTATTAAAAAAATAAAAATGTAAGAAACATTAGATTTTTAGTTGTCAATTTCTCTTAAAAACTCGTATTTTGGTCTTTTTCGAATGGTAACTATTAATATAAAGGTTTTTCAGAACATAAAAATTATATAAGGTTTTTCTAGCGTATACATATATAATTGGTTGTGTTTTTCTGTATATATCCATTATATATTCTAGGTTTTAACTTTTTTTTTTCAATTTAATCTTTTTGCATATTACTCTTCAACAAAACCTTTATGTGTTACAAAAATATTTGATTTTACTTAATTTTTTCTGATTCGTTAACCTCTTAAGTTTGATAGATATGTTCGTTTTTAAACGGTAAACCTGCAAAAGTTGTAAAATTAAATTTTTTTCACAAACATCATGTTTTAATGAGCCTAAAAACGTAAAATGATAAATCATCACATTTCTATGAAACTTAATATTTTCAAGTCATTTGGGCTAGTAAATATGTTTATATAAACGTGTCAAGCAAACCAACTTGATAGAAATCTATATAATTTTTTTTTCCAACTTGTAATTTACATAACAAATAACATGAATCTTTAACTTACCTTCCGTTGTTTGCGGCATTTGTAACTCGGACTTGGAAAACCTTTCACATATTCTCATTGGTAGCTGCGGAGTTGTGTTTTCTAAACATGTGGTGTGATTTGGGCATTCCTACATTTGTGGGGGTCGAAGGTGTTGTGAATTGGATCAACAGTGTTCGTTTTTCTTCTGTCAAACATACAGTTTTGGAGTCTATAATTGTGACCATGTGGTGGATTCTTTGGAACTTCCATAACGATGTTCTTTTTAATGGTTTTAATATTAGAAGGAATTTGTTGATTGATAGATTGATTGACTATTCTTATAATTAGATTGTGCTTAGAAATAGGAAAATTAGTGTTACTTGGTTGTCTTGGAGATTAAACCCGATCTTGTCTATTCCTTTGTAATTTTTTGTTAGCCTTGTGCTAACCTCTCTTTTTAATATATTTATCTGTTCGAAGAAAAAAGAAACACACATGATCTTTCAATGAAACTTTTTCCAAACTAAAAATTTGATAGAAATTTAAGTATTTGCGGTTGGCAATAACTAATAAAGTAATAATACATCCCAAACAAAGACTTACATGGTGATTTTGGAGTGGTTTTGGTTTTTGAACAATTTTATTGTATTTCTAATTTTATGTAAACTCTAGATGTAGACGAATACTATACACAAAATTCTTTATAAACAGAGGATAATACAAAGTAACAAGTATGACTGCAATGCAAGCAAGAACCAAATAAAAGAAAAGAATACCTACCATAAAAAACATAGGGAAATAAAAGGATCTTAACATAATATTATGAGTCTCTTAATCATTTGGAAAACGAGATGCACAGCCACTCTCTCTCTCTCTCACTCATAATTCTTCCCATACTTCAAAAAGAATATCTATCGCCCCATTCTACTCAAAAACCAAACTCTCACCGTGAAAACCTCGATGAAGACCAACTCTTTCCTCCTCCACCACTAGCACCACCACCAAATGAAGACGGCCGCCACTTGTCGCTCAGTGGAGCCACCTCACGCTCCTCCTGCTTCCCACTCCCCCACCTATCAGGCTGTGCCGCCCTTGTCTCTGCCGCCCCACCTCTACGGAAGCTGGGAACATATTTCCCACCACCAGATCCTCCACCAGCTGCAGCTGGTGCTGCCGCCGCTGCTGCCGGAGCGGAAACTCCGACAGCCGGAAGCTCAGAGGGCCTGGTTGGGCCATTGAGTGGTGGTGGTGTTCCACGTAAGATAGCTTCCTTTCTGAGCCTTTCTCTTTCTTCCAGTTCTTGTTCTCTTTTCCTTTGTCTTTCAGGTATTTCATCTAACTTTGCCCTCTTTTCAGCCTCCTCTTTCTTACGCTTTTCAGCCTCTGTATACATATTACATGACATGCATAAATTACATTGAATAGTCGTTTTACTTTTAACAAATGGACCATAATTGAAAAAAAAAGCATCTCGGGGACCAAAAATGTAATTTAATCTTATAAATAAATAAAGTTACCTTCCCGTTTACGGGTTTCTTCTTCCTCAAGCAACCTGTTGAGACTTTCTTTTTCAGTTTTCAAATAAAACATTTTCCTTTTTAAGTCCCTTTCCTCTTTTCGTGCCTTGAGGATTTGACCAATTCTTTCCTCTCTCTCCGCTCTCATTCTATCAAACTCTGCCATTCGGCTCCTCACAACTCTTTCTTCAAGTTCCATCTGCACAACATATTTTTTTAACAAATTTAAAAAAATAATAATAATAATAATAATAAAATGTTATTATTCAAAAATACATTACATACCTTATGTTCCATAAGACGAGCAAGTCTATACTTCTCCTTCAGATCTCCCTCATGACGCTCTCTGCTCAACTCAACCTCAAGTTGCATAAGTAACGACAGTTAGGCATTTACGTCTTTTTTTTACAAAGTATAGTAAGTACCTGTTGGTCGCGTTCATGGCGGAGTTTATCTTCTGCTAAACATCTTTGGAAAGCAGCTTCAATGAGAGGTGCAGCTTCTTCCCTTTTTGCCCTTTCAAAGTGATCCATAGTCTTGATTAGTTTTTGCATCTTCTTTTCCATTTCCTGCCTCTCTCTAACTTGCTCCTGCATTGCTAGCTCCATCAATGACTGCTTTGTCACCTCTCCTGTCAACCGAAAAGCCATCCATGGTCAACTCAACTTGGTCAACATAAAAAAAAAATGGGAGAATAGAGATTTCCAAATTTACCCCTTCAATGATGGGCTTCTTTCCTTTCTTTTTGATACGTTTTCCAACATCATTTAGTAAAGCTTGTGCTTCTTCACGCTCACGTTCCTCAATCTCCCTAAGGATTCGTTGGTGCTTCCTTTCTTCAAACTCGGTTGCAAGTCTTTTTTGTTCTGCTTCTACGGTTTTCTTCTTCAGCTTTATTCTTTTTGTCTCCTCTTCTCGTTCCTTTGAAAAAAAAAATAGGGTTTAGAAACATGGGTAAAAATGTAATTTAGACAAAGGAGAAATGAATAATACCATTTCAAGAAGGTGTCGTTCTTGTTCTTCTTTTCGTTTTTCAATGATTGATTTACGAGCAAGAAGCTTTTTGTGCTCTTTATCTACAATATCTGCCACTCTTGGTAGCATAGCACTCAATTTTGATGCTTTGGACTGAGAAGGGTATATTAGGGACCTTGATTTATTCAGATTTATAGCCAAAACACTCAAGTGGTCTTGTAGAATGTCAGATTCAAAACCCTTTAAATAACAAGAAAACAATGTTAGTATAGAAAGAACAGAACCAAAAAATTATGAAGAAAAAAAACGAATATGACTTCTTACCAAATCACCAAAAATGATTGCACCCTTCATGTGGTCAACTTTCATAGCAATGAAATTATGCTTCACAGCATCAACAGAGATCCTCTCTACAGCTGAGAAGTCAAAGAAAGGAACCATTTTTGATAAAGTCTCAACTTTCATTGTTTGGTATACTTGGGACACCTGAAAAAGAAAATATTAAGCTTCAACTTATTTTTCATAGAAAGCGAATCAAAGAAGTAGTCTAAAAGCTTATTATTTATCATTTTTTTAAAAAAAAAAGTTTAACATTAACAAGAAAACCAGGAAATTTAAAAATAAAACAAATATAGTAACTTTTGGGAAACACCGGTAAATACTTTATTTGAAGTTGTGAACTTTTTAAAATCAGATAAGGTTTTGAATTTTTACCTGTTGTAGCAGTCTTAAGGTGGCTACTTTTTCCAAAGCAGGAATATACTGAGAAAGCTGCACATCTGGAACAGAAGAAGCTGATGATATTTCCCCCCCAAGTTTTGCTATCTTTGTCAACAATGGCTCTACTTTTGATGCCAAATCCAATGGCAGAAATTCATTTTCTAGAAGATTGTATAGATCCTTCACTTCTTGGGTTACATATGTCATCACCCCTTTTGAAACCTGAAAAAAAAAATCATTTTACACATTATGTACAGGAAAAAAGATACAATATGATGCCATAATTGAATATATGTTCTCTAGAATGCCTTAATGATGAACAAAATGGAAAGTATTATGCAGCAATGAATGAAAGTATGTTGCTTTTTCTTTTGCATATTGAAAATTAGTCATTTTAGAGTATTGTATTTTGAAAAATCTTCCCAATAAGAGTAATGCTAAATTTGGGTAGATTTTTCAAAAGAAAATACCTTCATAAAAAAAATAATTGGTAGTATAATGGTTTAAGAGATTAAAAAAAAAAGTAAGATGCTATAACAGAAAATAGTAAAATGAACTTGATCTTACCAGATCTGCAAGAAGAGATGACCTAGAAAGCTGCAGGAAAATAAAACAAATTATTAACGAGATAAACATATAAAAAAAATCAGTTGAAAGTTGACTAATAAATAATACCATATCTCTTGTCTCAATCTTTGCATCAATATTGAATCCAATAAGATTATACATTCTGAGATTGCGTTCTTTTTCATGCTCAAGTTCCAAATGAGAAGCAGTTTTAAGGTGATCATATGGAGGAGCTGAAAGTGCAGCTAGCAAAAATGATGATGCAATCAACTGCAGATCTTTCTGGTTCAGATTCTTATTAAAACTCTTTTGAAGTTGAAAAAGATTAAACCATGCATACGCATGGTATAAATGGCTTGATGAAATCCAAAAGATCTCAGTCAATTTTGCATAGTAAATAGCCATCAGGGACGATTTAGGCATTTTCTTCACCATGCTTGTTAGCCCATAAATATCTTCCACAGATCGAAAAGCTTCCTGAAGATACATAATTCATACAACAAAACTATTATTCCACAACTACATGTTTCAATATAACAATTAGGGCAAATTGCATGTAACAAAGTATTTAGCTATGTCCTGCAGTTTGGCCAATAAATATCACACAGAAATGAGCCCTACCTGCCAAAGTTCCAGCTCAGTTGCAACTTTGAGTTGCTCAAATCTTGTATCAAGATAAAAATGTAGACTTTCAGGGGCATTTAGGTCAGGTCTATCCCTTTGATCTCTGTATTTGTTTAAGTTAGCAAGATGATTCCTGATGATCTCACAAAGCCTACGAAACTCAGTTGTTCTTTTGTATTGTTTGCAGAATTGAAACGCACGATGTGCTGTATCCTAAATAACAAAACGAAAATATAATCAAAGATAACATCAAAGAGAAAATTTTATATTATAAACCAAAACTTACTGCATAAAGTACCATTAACTTGGAGTTGTTTCGCAGGATTTCAAGAACTGTTCTATAAGTCTCCCATAATAACTTGAACCATGGAGTCACAAGCTCTCTATCAGAGCATTCTTTTCCCTTTTCACCACTGACATAGCTTAACATTAGATCTTCTGGTCTTTTGTCAGCTTCAAGATCATCAACATCTAAAGCTTCCTCTAAAGCTTCAGCCTGTGTACGTGCCAACTCAGCCCTCTTGGTTGAAAGATCCATGAAGTGCTTTATGACTTCCTCTAATGAATTTACATTAACTTGTTGGCATATTATTCGATACTGGATGAGACCATCTTTGGCAAATCTACCCCTCCTCATGTCAACACACAGCTCGGTGTACTTGAACATCATTTTTTCGTGTGTTTTCTGCCATGCTCTGTACCTCTTTGATGTAATTAAATCATGAAGAGCTTGAAGTGCATCTTGTTTTTGACCAACGTTTATTAATTCTGCAATCGAGTGTTAACAAGAGTGGGTTAATCATGTATATAGGCATTAGATTTTGAAAGGGGCTCTTTGGGTTCCCATGTAAAGAAACAAAATAAGTCAGATATGGAAGCATGACAATGATTGAAAAGGACAAAGAAAATACAACTATAGAGTATAATATGCCATTCACCTTCAGCCCGTTTCAAAGCATTCTCTGGTTTAGCAAAAGTAGACATTGTCAATCAGACTGGTCTTTCACCTGCTATGACACAAAACAAGCAATTATTTGTATTTGTAGTTGTTTAACTTTGTTTGACCATAACATGAAACTCTGCACAAAGAAAAGCAGTATAGACACGAGATAGGAGACAATTAGATCCACTGTGTTTTCTATCTACGAACCCATTTGAGCATGGAATTAAGATTAATAGAGATGCATCAACATTAATATTTCTAAGAAGTGACATGCTGAAATCTGTTAAGCATAATGACCAACATTAAAAATTTCATTATGAACGTATCATCAGACAATAATACGTACTTTAAAGTGTTTATAAAACCATATATTTTCACATAAATGTTTTCTACAATAGTAATCGCTTATTCGCTTAAATGCTTGAATCCGACAGGTTTCAATCTTACTCTTCGTTTTTCAAATTGAATATCTGATAGATAATCCATCGTGTGTTGTGACAACCCGAAACTTTTTCCGTTATCCTTACCCAGTTTCCGTTAATAAAATTTGGGTTTTATTAAATTCCGTCAAATTTCTTAGTTTGAGAAAGACTTTACGTTTTAAATAAATAATATTTATTTTATACGAGTCGGATTGAACCAGAATCGCGAAAAACTCGAACCTTCACTCAAAAATCACCGAGTTCATGGTCAGGACGAGTTTACGACCGTAAACTCGTGTAGACCGTAAACCCGTTTACGGTCAGGTGGCCCCCCTTTTGACTAAGAACTCTACCCTATATATAGAGTATTTGACATTCATTTCACACTTTAAACACTTCAAAGGCTTTCTCTCTCTACTCTCTCTACCTTCATCGAGTTTCCTCCAAAATATTCAAGTTATCTTCAAGATCCTCAAGAACACGGTTGTGTTTTGGACCGAAAACACCTTCTTTGCCTTCA